CCCCCCCTTTGTTTCCCACTGCTCATTCAAATGCACATACTACGACATGTAGACACAATTATTAAGCCACCACAGCAAACAAGAGCAGACACACAATTCCGAGCATGTGTATTTCTCTCAGCTTGCAAATAATAATAAAAACAGCATCCAAGCGTCGGATATAGACTACTAACAGACCTGTGTCTTCAAACATCGGTTGATAAAAATCAACGACGGCAGCTCCAAAACGCCCTCCGTAATTACGACTTGGAAAAGGGAATTCTCGTCAGATCAGCTGATCGATGTTGACCTATTTACTGGAGCCAATCAAAATCCTCAAAATATGGCCTACTTTTTTGATCCCCCTCGGTAGATTCCGTCGGGCAACGGAAAGTTCTAACCTAAGAACAAGCATATACATCCGAGGCATCAAATAGTTTTGCAGTTTTCAATCATTTCAATACAATGAATTCTTTGGAATCTCAAATAAATATATTCAATAAAATAAAAACTAGTAATTGAAATTAAATATACCTTTACATCTTTTTGCAAAGTGAAAATCGAGTGATATTCTGACGCGGATTAATATTTTAGCTGGCCTAGATTTGTGTAGTTATTTTGAGGCCAACGTGACGACTCGCCGGTACTAGCACTACTAGATCTAGCGTGTGTTCACGTCTCAGGGCTGCATCTCTGCTCCAACGCTTCTTCATGTCTACTTAAACTTGTGCTTCTACACACGTCAATATGGTTTGGATAACAAGATTAGCAAGGTATATTTGTATTAAGATATTACTTTTTTGTTTTGGCCTAATCGGAGTTCTTTTGATGTTCTTTTTTATTCATAATCCCGTAAGACGCATAATCAAATGAATAAACTCGGGCGTTTCTCGACATCCCCGCCTGGAGGTGTGTGAGTGTGAGGCGAAATCTCGGACGTAAGAAATCAATGCCACGACAAAGGATTATAATATATGTCACGTGGATATATCTAAAACGCTGTACCTTTTGTATGTAAAAAAACTTTTAAGGGTGGCTCCCGCCACACGTAGGCCTAACTACTTTGACGCTAAATAAATCTGGAATTGGGCCCTACTGTTTCAGTCTTTGTTGCGTTTTGATTTCCACGATTCTCTGGCTTTCTTTAGGGTCTGATCTGGGGCTGGGCCTGATTTCTGACAGGCCAGCTGGCGCTTTTTTTTTGGGGGGGGGGGGGGGGGGGGGTTAAATACCGTTGGCTAATGTCAATACTCTATTATTGCACTTGCCCTTAGATTAAAATATCGTATTGAATTGGCAGTTAATTCCGTTAACTTCTCAATTGGAATGCGAGTAGTGTGGTATTCATCAGCACAGTGCCCCATTTTTTTTGGTCTGCTCAAATAAACAGCTGAGGCTGATGAAGAAGTCATCATGTCATGTTGCTTCCACACATAGGTCTAGATCTATATCTAGATCTAGATCTAGATCTAACTTAGTTACATCTTGTACAACCGAATAGTAACAGTAGTATTTTTTAAGGCCAGATCTATTAATTTCTCACAACGTTCGGGAAAATAAACTTGGGAAGGACTTCCGTAACGAGCGACCACCCCAACAATGGGCAACAGAAATAATTATTATAATGAATAAAGAAGAGACCTAACCCTACCCCAGACCCTCACCCTACGCCCTACCCCAAACCTTAAAAACCTAAACCCTACCCCTAGCCCAAACCCTACCCGTACCCCTATCCCATACCCATCTGTTCTCCTCCCTAAACTTGAACTCTATTTCTCCGAATGGTTTTCTCCGAGATTTGTAGATAATAATTGCGAATGGAGTGGCCCGTGTGTGTCTGTCTGTCTGTGTGTGTGTGTAGGCCTAAGGTGTGAACGGGACGTGGGGTGGGGAGGGCGTGGAGGGATTTTTTATTTTTGCATGAAGGATTTTAGTTTTTGCTGGGTGACTAAATGGAAAATAGGTTACTGCCAAGATCGATCAGTCTTGTTTTCTCGCAGTACCTTTTGAAGGCATTTTCAAATGAAGTATAGTCCGGGAATGTTGCCCCAACCACAACTGAAGTATCTGAATATTCCGACATCTAAAAATCTCTAGCTCTAGAAATTGAATTTGAGGCCAAAAAATGCTTCTTCCCAGTCCTCGCAGAATGGCAGAATGAAAGACGACGCTTAAATTTCGCGAATACCCCAAAAATCTCGAGAACGGAAACCGTTCGGAGAAATAAAGTTCAAGTTTATTTTCCCGAATGTTCGGAGAAATAGTCACTTCGATTTTTTAAAGGGGTGGGGGGGAGCAGTTTTTTGTTGTCGATATTTGTATTGTTGAAATTTCTGAAAGTACTAGATTTCTATCACTAACAGGTTGACTTATTCGGCCCTAAATATGGGGATATGGTGTTTCTCACCCCACCCCGCATTTTTTCCAGAGATCATGCTTGTATTTTTATTTTTGTGTCCTTTATATTTCCAGCATATCCTCAAGGATCTTGAGAAATTCTCCTCCCCTGAAAAGGTTGAATCTCAGACAAGCAGCTCCCCTTTGCTCTGCCTTGACGGGCCAACAGAACCGGGAGTACAGAGTTATCTACGGAGACACCAGTAAACTACCGAACAAAGTTCGCCATTATGTTGAAGAGAACGTCCGACTTTGCAAACCAGATACCGTCCACATTTGCGATGGCTCCGACAGAGAGATTGAGCTGCTGAACTACATACTCCAAAAAGATGGGATCTTGAAGGCTCTGCCAAAATATGAAAATTGGTGAGTTGAAACTAAATTTTTTTTTTCATATTGGAAGCATGAGACAGAGAGAGAGAGAGAGTTTTCTTTGAAAGGCTACTGAGTTGTTACAGTCTTCTGTATTGATATTCTGATTGTTGAATGGTTCTCAAGGATTCTATTATTATTATTTTCCATTATCGTTTGTTTATATCATCCTCCTATTTTATCTCCTTGCAATTACTACTTGAATTGCTTTGCTTGGAATCTTGTGTTCTCTTCAAACTGAACTCTAAACGAGTATTATTTGTTCTTAATAGTATAAAATGTAAATACTAGGATTTTGGGTTAGTGTTCTTTATTTTACTGTTTGTAATTATTAACGGGTCAATGTAAAATTAAAATTGTGCCCGCTTTTCATGCGTTTGTGTTGTCAGCATTTACTTGCAATTTACAGCGGAATATCAGTAGGCTTTTTTTTTTCAGTAGGCTGTTACAGGTAAAAAGTGACCCAGCTTGCAAGATAAGAGTGGGAGTAGTCTGCCATCTGGGTCAGATTGTACGTAGTTAAGGACTCTTTGCTTCCTTCAGTTGGGGAGAAAATAGGTTAAGTATTTTTATCATCAGATTCTCTTTCTCTGGTTATACTATTATTGGGGTCACCAACTTGACCTTTCTGTGGCTCTTGTTATCTGTTGTTAGCTCAGTGTTTCCGCATTACTCCTGATAATAACTGGCTGCTATGTTTACTTTGAGTCATTGCAGTCATTATCATAGTGGTATGACACATACACTTATAGCTCAATGTCCCAGTCAGGAGTGAAAAAAAACCCCCATTTTAGATTTATTTTGCAAGTTTTGCACTTTGGCTTTTTAAAGTCTTTTTTGTTGATGCGAAATAAAAGACCTTTTGTTTTTTCTTTGAACTTTCCTCACAGCTGTTTGTCTCAGCTCTCTTTCCATGAATGGAATTTTCAACCTTTGTGATTGTCTGATCGATGGAGCTTTCTTGAACATGTAGCATGCTGAATCTGATTACATGATTTGTTTGTCTTTTTAGAATAGAAATACTGATTTGTTTTATCGTCTTCTGTATCGTGATGAAAATGAACTGGCATTATAAATTTATAAAGCATTTGGCAGGAGATTTTGAGATGTGACACCTGTGTTGGAGACAGCTGGTGTGAGCTGCGTAGGTTATGAATTATGGAATGTTTGAATAATGTGTGTGTTCTGAATTCACTTGGGACACAATGATTAAATTAATATCGCAGTAAAAGCAGTGGATTTGTTTTGCATGGTAAGATTATCTTTATAGAAGCACCTTGCCCATAGTACTGTTACTTTTTGAGAATCCATGATCAAAATTGTTTGAAGAATTACATTTTCTGACTGCCTATGTTAAAGGATGATTACACTTCTAAAAAAAGGGTAGATGAATGTCAAGTTGTTTAGACTTGGGCCATCTTGCAGGGATTTCTTTAAGTTGTAATCTCAGCGATGTATTTTGATGGAAGAGATATAATAACACGTTTATATTATAATGGGTGTCTTTTCCTTTGCCACTACGCTCATACTAATAACATGGTTTTGAGTTAAGCTGAGTTCTGTGACAGTCACTTTGTACTCTTGAAAGTTTTTTTTTTTTAACTTTCTTTTATTGTTTTCCATTCCAGTTGGCTGGCAAGGACTGACCCTGCTGATGTGGCTCGGGTCGAACGGCTGACCTTCATCTCCACAGAACTTCAGCGTGACACGGTCACTACGCCCAAATATGGGGCCAAGTCACAGCTGGGGAACTGGATGGACCCGGAAGACATTGATAACGAACTGAACATGCGTTTTCCTGACTGCATGAAGGGTGAGTAGAGGGTGCTTGGTTCTCTGGGTGGATGGAGGGTACAAGGTCCTGCGGGTGGTTGAAGGGTACCTTTGGTAGGCCAGGCCTGCTTTTCTTCAAAGTCTGGAAATTTTGTATATATTCATGTTCATAACACTCTTTGAAACTCAGACCTCATGTCAAGGTTAAATTTGTTTTTATGTGAATTTGCAATGTTCCGATCAATTAGTAAAATGATATGAGATAGCGATGACTTGTGAAAAAAAATTTGGAGCACATCTTTTAAAAAATATAAGGGCATGAAGTTTATTTTCTAACATTTGTGTCTCATTTCCATTTTTTGAATAAATTTGTGCCTTTTTTCTTTAAGAAAACCCCCCTGATATTTTGTTCAAAAAACTGTTTTGTGGGTCTGATTTAAACATTTTCACATTGTGTCTTATTTCTGGGTTATTATTAGGTTTTTATTTCCATTAACATTTTTGTTCTTGTTTTTAGTCATTCAATTATTTTAAAATTTTGTATCTTGTTTCCATTTGAAAAAAGAATTGTTTTAATTCTGTGAAAAAAGCAGGGTTTTTTTTTTGGGTCTTATTCCAATGTTTCAAAAATTTGTCTTGTTTCATTTTTTTCTACAATAAATTTGGCTCCCTTCCAGGACGCACCATGTTTGTGATCCCGTTCAGCATGGGCCCCGTGGGTTCCCCGTTCTCCAAGATCGGCATCCAGCTGACGGACTCGGCCTATGTGGTGGCCAGCATGCGCATCATGACCCGCATGGGCAGCCGTGTGTTGGAGACGCTTGGCGAAGGGAACTTCATCAAGTGTCTGCACTCAGTTGGCCGACCTCTGCCACTCACATGTGAGTCTCCTCACTTTTTTACTGCTGTTAGAATTTAAGTGAAGGTGTTTTTACTCCCAAATTTACACAATTTAGATCATTGAGGAGATGGGTTTCCGACCCTGCCTGTCAGGGCCAGCTCAGGTTGAGAGGATACACATAATCCCTGCTGAAAGATTGAGATACTCAATAAATATTCTTCCCACAAGGATATTAAACTCGGGGCTCCTGTGTGCAACAGCAAAAAGCCTAACTGCTACACTGCAGAGACTGGTCTACCATTGGCTCGGCTAAGAAGCTTTGTTTTAAAAAGTAAACTTTACAACTCTCTTCACCTGAGTGCTTAAGTGTGCCGGGGGGTGGGGGTGTTTGTACACTTCACTTTTACCTGTCAGTGCAGATGTTTTATAAGTTTGGTTAGCTGGTGGTTTGAGGGTGCCGTTTGTTGGTCATTCTTCTTTGCTCACCCTCTACTGTTTTTGCATATCACTCTTGCGTTTCCATAGCATTGAATGACTGCTTTTTCTGGATATCTGCTTTTTACTTGAAACTACACCATGCCTGTAGTTACACACTTCTTTTCTAATGGACGGAATCATTTTGGTCAAGATTTACTAAAATTTCAATGGGTAGTTTGAGGATGCCTCTGGTAGGTCATATTTTTTTCCCTCTGTTGTTTTTGTTTTTCAGTCTTGTTTTCACAGTGCAAAAAACCCATTATGTCAGTGTGCATCTCTCTACTCAAACAAGCAAATAAACAAACAAGCATGTCAGTGGCTTTATGCCTGCCTTTTGTTTGAAAACATCAGTGTCTCATTCAGGATATTTTATACAATTCAACAATGTTGGTATTTTATAAATCTAAAAGCTATTAATATATGATCAGAGAAAATTAGTTATACAGTTTGAAAAGGGTTTTAATCAGTGGATTATCCTTTTACTGTCAAGTTCTGTTGTATGGGAGAGTCACAGCTGGGAATTATGCGGCACAATGTATCCTACTTCACACCTGCCAGTGACGTCACTTTTTCACCATGTTGAAAGTTCTCTTGTGACTGCCAGGGTTGAACCACTGAGTCCCGTCCCTTGCATTAATGCCCTGATTATGCATGCATGCCAATGTCTATAGAGATGACTTTTGGCATCAGGGATGACTGTGCAAAAAATGTTGCCTTCATGTCTGTCTTATAAATGTACCAGTGTGCAAATTTCTATAAATAACTCTTGGCATTGGAGGTGACTGTGCAGAAAATGTTACTCTGATGACATATGTCGATTGCTAGATTATGGACAAGTTAAGGTATAAGACTGACGTCTTTGGTATAGCAGCCTGCCCCCTTTTTTGTCTGCTCAGGGGTTGGGTTTTTTTGGGGGGGGAGGGGGTTGATACGTTTTTCTCCTTTCTTTTTGTGTTATCTTTATCTGTATTTTTATGTGTGTGTGTGTGTTTTATCTTTATTATTCATAATTTTTTCAGTGTGCGTATCTGTAAACGTTGTCTCTTTTTTTATGTGTGTGATATTTAATTTTTAAATATTTGAAAAACTCTTTTAGGTGTTTTGTTTATCGTTTTTTTTTCTTTTTGTGTTATCGTTATCCATTTCTCTTTTTTTCTCTAGCACCCCTGCACAACAACTGGCCGTGCTCCCCGAAGAACACGCTGATCGCTCACCTGCCCGAGAGGAATGAAATCTGCTCCTTCGGCAGCGGCTACGGGGGAAACTCGCTGCTGGGGAAGAAATGTTTCGCTCTCCGCATCGGATCTATTCTTGGTCAGCGTGAGGGCTGGCTGGCAGAACACATGTTGGTGAGTTGTGGCGTCATCGTTACGTGTTGTTGTTTTTGTGTGTGTGTTCTCTATACCCAAGCTGTAAACTTTCTGATGTCTTAAAAATTCACTTAAATGTGCTTTGCTTGTTAGTAACATTGACACTTTATTTGTATTCTGTGATATTTTTTACCTATGAAGGATCATCAAAGTATAGATTTTCTTCCTGGGTTGTACATTCTATCTTTCTCTCTGCTGTTTCTGCTTTTCCTGGTGCTAAGCAGCCATCATTGTTTTGATCTGTGGACATGGAATGTCATTTGAATATCATTTGCCTGTAAATGCTCTTGTAGTGAGTGTTTCGTCAATTTTTTTTCAGTGGAAAATGAATAAAGTAAATCTTATCTTATATTATGATATCTTTATCTCACCTTTTTCTCTTCTCAGATTTTGGGCATTGAGAACAAAACGACGGGAGAGAAGCGATACATTGCTGCGGCGTTCCCCAGCGCGTGCGGCAAGACCAACCTGGCCATGATGACGCCGTCCCTGGACAACTACAAGATCACGTGTGTGGGCGACGACATCGCTTGGATGAGGTTTGATGATGCGGGACGTTTGAGAGCCATCAACCCGGAGGCTGGATTCTTCGGAGTGGCGCCTGGTATGTTGACGCTTACGTGGAAAAATCGTGTTTGGCTGGAAGGCATTTAGAAAGAAAGAACAAAATGTGTTCAGGACAGTTGGGGTGATGTGTGGTGGTTGGCTTTATTGTTTCCCTTAATTTCCTAATATGCCAGTGATTTGTTGATAAATCAATATCCTTTTGTGACCTTGAAGTCCTAAAAACGACAGATGGATAATTAATTTAATACAGTGTCTACACATACAGTTGTTGTGTGTTTTTTTAGGCTTTCAAAGCAATTAATTTGTGATTTCTAAAGTGACCTAGTCTCTTAAAGCTTCATTAGCTTGTTATGTGTGAGTATGTTTTCTGTTGCTATCAACTTAATTTGGTCAAGTTGTTCCTTCATGAGAACTCCTCTGTGTTTCAGGTACCTCATCAAAGACGAACCCTATTGCCATGGACACCATCAAGTCTAACACTGTCTTCACCAACGTGGCAGAGACCAGCGATGGAGGTGTCTTCTGGGAAGGTCTGGAGAAAGAGATGGACAACGGTGTGAAGATCAAGTCGTGGCTGGGAGATGAGGACTGGAAGAAAGACGAGACCGACAGACCGGCCGCACATCCCAACTCTAGGTGAGTCTTTGCTTTTTTTTACTTTCCTTTTTTACGGTAGCGAGGGGAGAGGCAAATTGAAATATGTATTTCTCTTGTTTGTTTTATCACCTATGGGCGGTCATGCTCTTTTTGTCTAAAGTTTCGCGACCTCCTCTTTCCATCTTTTCCCGGGCTTGCACCTTCCTCTCTGTCTGTCTGATCTCTGGTTGTAAGCTCTCGTTGGTAGAATATCTAGTGGTAATCTTAAGTTACACAGATAAAAAATGGATAAAATGATTTGGACTTTTGTCAAGACTAGATATTTTTATTTGGAAAAACTTGCTAAGATGAGTGATAAGGAAACAGAAGTATAATGTAGAATTCTTTAGAGCAACAGGGTGGAGAAATGAATGGAGAACCAGGATCTTTGATGTCTGTTTCAGATCTGGCCCTTTATGATTATGGTGCTCCTCCTTGTTCCAACAAGGCATGTAGGATAGCTGATCTCTCACCATGTGCCTCTGTCTGTGTTTCCCCGATTTTGTACCTTAGTCTTACACTGTGTCCGTCTGTATTCCCCAGGTTTTGCACACCAGCCTCTCAGTGCCCGATCATGGACCCTGCCTGGGAAGACCCAGAAGGTGTCCCGATCGACGCCATCATCTTCGGAGGACGTCGGCCGACCGGCGTGCCGCTAGTGTATGAGGCCTTCAACTGGGAGCACGGCGTGTTTGTGGGGGCGGCCATGCGCTCTGAGTCGACTGCTGCCGCTGAGCACAAAGGTGTGTAGTTGTATGTGCTGGTGGTGTGAGGGTTGAAGTGTGTGGCTATGTGTGTAAGGGTGGTAGTGTGCTGGTGGTGTGAGGGTGGTAGTGTGTAGTTGTATGTGCGGGTGGTAGTGTGTAGTTGTATGTGCGGGTGATAGTGTGTAGTAGTATGTGCTGTAGGGAGGGTGGTAGATTCTAGTGGATGTGGTATTGTGCACTGGGTGGTGGTGGTGGTTAGATGGATTGGATGAGTAATGGTTTTGTATTCTGGATAAAACCCTGTGATTGAAAGGACTGTCATCATTTTTATTGTGTTGAAAAACAAGATTCTGAAATATTTAATTAACTGTGACTTGTTCATGTTTCGTTTACTAAGTTTTACCTTCTTGCTGAAGAGTAACACAATTTGTCACATCCCTTTTCTGTCCAAAAGGCTTTGTCTGTCAATGATTTCAGTTATTTTATGGATTACATTTTAATTTCATACTTTTTGTTGCTGTTTTTCATTTTCTTTTAACTTATAGTTCTAGTTGAGAACAGTAATCAATAAGGCACTTTCTAACACTGAAAAAAGAAAGTAAAAAATTTTGAAGAAAGAGATGCTGACTGAAAATCTGTTTTTGTTCCTTCTCAGCCAAACAAATTATGCACGACCCGTTCGCCATGAGACCATTCTTTGGCTACAACTTCGGCGATTACCTCAAGCACTGGCTCAGCTTCGGCCAGAAGGAGAACGTGGTTCTGCCCAAAATCTTCCACGTCAACTGGTTCAGGAAAGGCCCGCAGAACAACTTCCTGTGGCCAGGATTTGGCGAGAACGCCCGTGTGTTGGACTGGGTGGTGCGCAGGTGTAACAACGAGGACATTGCCAAGCGGACACCCATCGGCATGGTGCCCAAGTTCGACTCGCTGAATCTGGAGGGTCTGGACGAGCCGGTGGACCTGGAGGCCTTGTTCAGCCTGCCCCGGGACTTCTGGGAGAACGAGGTGAACGCCATCTACAAGTACTTCGACGAGCAGGTCAATGAGGACCTGCCCAAGGAGATCATGAATCAGCTCAAGGAGCTGGAGAGCCGGGTGCAGGGCGAGCTGTAATTACCGTGACCTCTTAGGTGGGGGTCACTGTGAGGTTGTGGTCATCGCTTGTGAGTCCCAAAAGGGGTCAAGACCATTTGTGGGTTCAAGACTAAGAGGTGTCATGTCCTCTTGGGGTGTCTTAGGTGGTCGTGACCTCCAGTTTCACGAAGAGGGATCAAATCAAACGCAGTGCGCTTGTCAGGCCTCTCTTTGGTGGTTTGAGATTTAATCTGTTGTCGTAACGGAAATGTGGGACAATCGGAGGAGGGAGGGTTACTTTATGTTGTAACGGCATGGGCTGTTGGATTAATCATTGACATGCAGACAGGCATCTGTCATTTGACATACTATTTTACCCATTTCATTGACATTACACTTTTTTTTTTTTTTTTTGCATGTAATATATATATATTTTTTTAATTTGACTGTTCATTTTGTTGTAAATTAGTGGGATTAAGATCTCTCATCCTCTCTCCCCACTCCCCCCCCCCCCCCCCCCCCCAATGGATTTTGGCTATGACCACAAAACCTATTCTGTCATACAGAATATAAGATTATATAAATTCAATGATTGTGTTGAATATTGTGAAACCATAAATGATTTTTACCTGCCAACACAAAGTTTTTGTAAAAAATGTAAATTTTTGTTGTTGTTTGTTTGTTTTAATGAATGACATAACAATTTCTAAATTAAAAAACATTGCAATTAATACTGATGATGAAGCAATCAAAGCTCTCGTGTTTCCGTTGTGTTTAGGATTAAGTAGTCACTTACCTGTCGTATGTGTGCATTGTGCATATATGTGGGTGTGTTAAAGAGACAGATGGTTCATTGTTATGGTTTAAAAGGTAGATTGTACATCATTGTGATGAGTATGTGTGTGAGTTGTCTGAAGGTGCAACATAATCCTCATTGCATATGTGCGTGTGTGTTGGAAGGGAAGCCGTATATTGTGTCTGTCTGGCTGGGTTGAAAAGAAAACAGTACATCACTGTGTATGTTTGAATATGCTAAAAGGTTGAGTGTGTGCGATAAGACAGACAGTAATAATTCATGGTGTCATATTCCTGTACTTACATTACGTTGTGTCTATGTGCTCAGACCTCCAATTCCTGGGGCGTAGGGCGGCCGTTTTATGTAAAATGTGAGACGACCTGACAAAATGAGCAACTTCTCACAATCTACGAATACAGATGTCGGCTTGAAAATCGTCACATCAAATTTGTAAATTTTCAACTGGTGCCATTTACTTCAAGTTTAATTAATATGTCTTTTATCATTTCATACTTATAAATTGTACAAACAAACCTACCTATGGATTTGACATATCTGTCTGGCTCATAGGGATAAAATCCGAGCAGTAACTCATTTTGTCAGGACCCCTCTCAAATGTGTTCTATGAAGTTGTGGAAGTTGATAAAAAGTATACACACTTGATGCGTTTATATATCTATATATAAATCTACCTGCAGAATGATCTGTGATACGATATACTTATATACCAACTACTATACTGCACTTGGAGTTTTTTACCTCGTGTTCAAAATGAAAAGCAGCTAATTGTTGTGTCTATTGTGTTGTCAGATGCTCTAGTTACCAAAGCCTTATAGGGAGATGTTAACACATGTTTCAGTTTGATACATACATATATACCTCTGTACCTCTGAGCTTTGGGGTTTACTTTTTATAGACCAAAGAAATCTCCATCCCCCCACTCTCCCACCTTTTAAAAAAAAGCTTTTTAAATACAGAAGCATCAGCATAAAGCCTTTTAGGAGTTTGATTTGATCAAGTTTCTCTCGATGTTTGCGTAGTTACCATTGTCTTAGCTGCTTCTTTTAGTTTGTCCTACTTAAGCGTTAGCCTATCAGTGTAACTGGTAAAGCTTTATACTTTTTTTTGGATGTGGTAGTTTTAAGTTGTGTGTGTGCATTGAAAAAGTTTGCGTTTTTGTGGGTGTGTTTGTGCAGAGAGACCTATGGTAGAAGTTTGCATTGTTGTGGGTGTGTTTGTGCGGAGAGATAGAGGGTAGAAGTTTGCATTGTGTGGAAGATTATGTGGGGTGAGTTTTCACCATTTGTACTTACAAAGTGAGCATTCCATTTTGATTGTGTCGAATTCTTTCCCTCGGTTGTTTACTTTATGTGTTGTGTCAAGCTCAGGTTGATGTGTTCCAAAATACGATGCACTTTTTTATGAACAGCATGACACACTCTTGGTGTGTTTTGTGTTTGTTTTATGTACTAGGTGTGTTCCTTCTGTGTGTTTTTAAAGCATTGCTTTTCCAAAAATTAGTTTTATCTTCAGCTTGAATGTTATACAACATGTGTAAATGTGAGGATACAGTTGGGGTGTGGCTCCGTTTGTGGCTGTGTATTCGTATGCCTGACTGTACTGTGTGTGTGCGTAAAAGTCCAACATCTTGTTTATCGGTAAGTCTTGTATCTTTGTCTCGGCTAGCGGCCTATATGACTGCTCCAGGAAGTGAGTTTTTATCTCTCTACCGCCTGGATGCACGATGTTTGTGTGTCGTTTTGCCTGTATCTGCTTCTCAGTATCGTATGTCATTGATTGCGTATGTTTCTCCCAGATGCCATCTTTGATCTGAAAAGAAAAACCAACACAAGCACAGTGCTACATTGTTCACCTCATTTCAGTCACAATTATATTTTGTGTAGCAGTGCGACTAAATGAGTCACTCGACGCATTTTGACAATATAGCACTCTGGGCATAAAAAATCTGTTCTAACCTTACACAAGTGGGTGATAGCAGCTTAAGTCTCGCTGCTTTTGTTCCAAAGTTCAAATCGCTGGAAGTTAGGGACTGAAAAACATGGACCTTGGTAAAGACGAAGTTAAGCCCAATATCTGGAAATGGCTGAGTGCAGCAAATGATTCATTTTGTCACATTGCTACGCATTTTTGTTTTCTTTTGTTCTCCTCGTTCTTGCCATCAATGACCACAACTCATATATATATCATCGGGTATGTTATACCAATGTCTCGTATTTCTGTACTAATTTCTCAGCCCATTTCTCAATGTTTCAATGCCTGATTTACGCAGTGTGTCCGCGTTCCTGTCAGTTTTGTATATCGTCACCATCGCTAGAAAAATTATTCCACTGCCTATGGTTTAGTGGTTAAATGCTTGGCTGTCGCATGCAGGAATCCCAAGTGGAGAGAAATTTTTATCTAGTATTTCAGTTTTCTGATGGGATTTGTATCCCTCTCAGCCCCAGGTTGGCCCTGTCAGGCAGAGTCAGAAGCCCGTCTCCTACATGGATCTAAATTGTGTCAATGGGGGCGATAAAACGCTTACTATTTAAAAAATATTTGAGTTTGAATCCTCACTTTTCTGGTGATGGTGATGATATTTGTCTTTGTCGTTTGTGTGTTACGATGGCACAAGTTATGCAAGGTGGGAGGAGATGGATCAAAGTGTTCAATTTCTGGGTTCACGTTTTTAATTTCCGCTTCAGGTATATTTGCTCATTTATTGGCGTTTTCATGGCCATTTTCCACAATTGTCATTTTTTCATCCTTCACACACCACTGGGTCATTCATACTGGTATTGGCTAATAATGCTAGAAAAAAACACAATGATTATCATAAAATTAAAAATAAAAGATACTGATATGATGTACTTTTTGTCTTACAGTCTGGTTTGTTGATGACAATGTACATATTTGATCGTTTGTGTTGTTGGTTGTCTTTAAAATTACATATTAGTGGTTGTCTCTCTCTCTCTCTCTCTCTCTCTCTCTCTCTCTCTCTCTAGCCAACTGTTCACCAAAATCGGGGACTCAGAGTAGCTTCCCTTCGCAACCGAAAATTCGGAACGCGTTGCCTGTATACAACTCCCTGACAACAGTCAGTGGGGCTGAGAATTCCATTCTGTACATCTGTGGCGTGTCGCGAGACACGAAACCTCACGGCCAACTGACCTTGTCAACTGACCCTGTTAATAACCCCGGCCACTGACCCCGGCAACTGGCCTTGGCAAATGACCCCCACGGCGACTCAAGCACCTCAGCGAAATAAATAAATTCATTCATGCTTTTTCTCAGCTCAAAGCCCGCCATTTCTCCTAGCCCCATTGATAGATCTCTTTTATTGTTGTTGTTGTTGTTGTGGTCAAGTTGTTTTTTTTTAGGTGAGGACTGTTTTTTCCGCGTTTTTTCAAAGTTAATATATATCACTCCCCTCCCCGCCTTATCTCATCTATCTTACCTTAGCTTATCTTATCTTATCTTATTTTATCTTATCTTATCTTATCTGCACGCAGCGAGTGATTGGCAGGCACTCCGGCTTGTTTGTTCATTCTTTTCTATCCAAAATATTATATCGTTCTTGCCTCTCCTCCTCCTCCTTTTCTTTATGTTACTCTTCACTGACAATTCTAATCTTCGGCAATTGTATGAACTAATTGTGATGGAAATCGCGTGAACATCTCTCTCTCTCTCTCTCTCTCTCTCTCTCTCTCTCTC